CCCCGCCCCCCCCCCCCCCCCCCAAGAAGGAGCCCACGCTGGCGCTACCTCCTGCAAAAATGAAGGTAGTGCCAGCTTCCTGTGGCGTGGGGGATAAGTGCCGCAACAGTGTGTCTGGTCTGGCATCTCAGGAAGCGCACGGGTGAGGAGTCTGGCCAGGGGGAGGGGATAGGGACAGCTCAGCCGGTACCTGGGGATCCTGCAGCTTTGCGCCAAGTCTGGGGACTCAGGAAACATACTGGTTGCTCCTCCCCTCCCCAAAGAGCCAGCACAATTCCTAAAAAGCCGGGGCTGTTGTGCCACCAGGGGCTTCCTTCCCCCTGCTGCTTTCCTGCACAGAGGGGGGGAAAGAAGAGTAGGAGTCCCAGGACTGCGCGCCAGCTCCAACTTCTCAGGGAGCACACCAGCTGTCATAGGGAACAGAGGAAGAGGATGCGCTTACTGACAAGTTGGAACTGGCACGCAGTCCCGGGACTCCTACTACCCTCCCCTGTGTGCAGGAAGGCAGGCAGGAAGGAAGCAGGGGGAAGGAAATCCCTGGCAGCGTGACAGCCCCAGCTTTTCAGGAAGCACGCTGGCTGTTTGGGGATGGAGAAGCAGTGCACGTGCTTCCTGAGATCCCAGATCTGGTGCACAGCTGCAGGATCACCAGGTATCAGCTGAGCTGTCCCTGTCTCCTCCCCCCGCCTAGACCCCCACAAGTACCCTGACCCCCCCCCGCCCAGACCCCCACGAGTACCCTGCCCAGGGCCCCACCAGCAACCTGCCCCCGGGCCAAACACCATACAGCACCCTGTCCTTGCCCAGGGCCCCACCTGCCCAGTAGCACCCTGCTCCTGCCAACTTCCCAGGCCCCCACTAGCACCCTGCTCCTCCCCCTCTAGCACTTTACACCCTGGCCAGACTTCCACCTGCACCCTGCCCAGGCCCCCACCAGCAACCTGCTCCTGCCCCTTCCCTCCTGCCAGACACCTACCCTCTGCTTTCTCTCACACCCTATTTTCCCCCCCAGCTTCTGCACCCCCATCCCTATTCCACTCACTGGCAGCCCTATCCCGCACAATGGGATCCCTCATTTTTGGCCCCACCTCAGAGTGTAGAGGGGCCCATAAATTCCACAAAACTTGGAATCCCAGAAGAGTTAATCTGGTCTGAGACCTTGAACCAAAGACTGGTAGGACTGAGAAGTGAAAGAAACAATTCCAGAGATCTCACTAGGTAAGCCTAAAGTTTATTATTTGTTGCTATACAGGACCAATTGTTATGGTAATTTGTGGTGACAAAACGTGCAATTGAATTGTTGCGATGTTGGAAATGAGTATGCGTCGTTTTAAATGTTAGTTATTTATGTTTCCTTTTTCATTTAATGAAGTTTATATAGCAGCTAGAATTGGCTTTGATGGGGGGGTCTGCAAACTGTTTGGGGGGCCGTAAGGGGTCTGCACTAGTGAAAAGGTTGGGAACCACTGACTTAGGCTAATCAAGAAGTTTCATCAGGATTTTGTGAGGAAATTGTGTGATTTCTTTGTTCCAATGTTCACTCAGAGGGAGGGAAACATGACAGCAACAGAAGTTTCTCAGACCTTGAAGAATAACTCAGAGTGGAAACATTTGGTGCCCATGAGGCACTGAACAGATACTAACATGAGACCCTGCATCCTATTTAAAGACAAAGATACCAGGAAACAACTATAAATCTCTGAGCCTAATTTTCGTATTGAGAAGATTCTAAAATCACTATCATGAACAAGAGGAAATATGTTAAAGGGAAGGAGACTGGGCTGGGCAACTGAGTATTTTCATTTTTATCAGCTTATAAACAGTCTAAAGGGGGCAAGTAGAGAAGTTTGAGTAACTAAGATTTAACAGGAAAATGGTTACATTAATACCATGCCCAACAGGGAATGAAAGTTTCAGTTGTGACAAATCAGCTTTTTTCAACAGAAAAATGTTAATCACAGAAATCCTGGCCAGCTCTAATTATGGCCTGATATATCTGGGTCATTCTTCTTCACACCAGCAAGATGTGATAGCTTTAGAAAACAAATGTTTCTAACATCTGTAGAGGTAGTTCAGTGTAGCCTCATCACTTTGCTGGTCCTCTCTTTACATTGCTCTAGTTTTCCCCTCCCTCCCAGCCCCCCAATAACATACTGTGCTTTCTTCTACAGAATCATCACCCGGTCCACTTAAGAGTGCTTCTGAGAAAGCTGTAGTTCAGTTTCAAAGAAGTTTAACAGACAGAATGCGTACAGTAACAGAAGGCAAACACACACTATTAGGAAGACTTTATAAACAGGAAGAAACACAAGGCATCAGCAGAACACAGATGTACGGTGATCCTTCAGCTATAAAACAGGTTGGTTAAACGACCTTTCTATTGAACTAGCATGCAAAAAGAAAATACAAATAATCCACAGAGATAAAGATGGAAGAGGTCTATTTGATTATCTAGCCTGTCCATACTGGTGCAGGATTACTTCCCTAGAATAAGTTTGGGCTTGAGCTTTTGGGGTTTCCACATCACTGCTTTTAGGAGATTGACACAAGTTAGCAGATTTAATTGAAAGGAAATTTTTCCTTATTGTAAACCTAGATTTTTCTTTGCTTTAATTTCATCCCATCCCTTTTAGGAACACCTTTCTTGACCATCTTAACAGTTCCTCCTCCTCTGCATTCATAACCTTTAAATACTTGAAGGTTTTATTACAGCTTCCTTTACCAAAGTAAGTGGGAAGTGAAAATACAAGCTTCCCCTGAACAAAACAAAACCATACTAATGTATTATGTTAATACTGTGCTGGCTTTCCTTAACCTGCAGACAGAAAATTCCAGTGCCAGGGCTTTTGCTCAAACAGCAGAATAAATTAACCAGACTAGTTAATTTTGCTACAACTGATCAGAACCAATGCCACCTTGCACTAGGGATGTTAAGTATTGTGTTTTTATATAAATGTGTAACTGCAGCAAGGGGGGACAGCACATGTGGAGAGCCAGCTTAAAAACTGCCTGCCTGCATGCACGTTTCAGCTCCTGCCTGCCTCCTCCACCCTCAAAGGCAGAAGTGCGTGGGAGAGGGGCAGGAAGCTCCACACGCATACTGGCTCCTCTGCCTCCCCCTTCCGTGCTGCTGCCTGTGATAGAGAGGCAGCTGCATGGAGGGGGGAACGAAGCAGGGAAGCTGGCTTCTTGCATGTACTGGCTAGGGATGTTAAAAACTAGTCGACTATCTAATAAGCATTTGCTTATCGGATAGCCTTTTCACTAGTTGATTCCCCACCCCCACGATGTCTCTATGAGATGAAGGCAGTAAAGGGGGGGGGATGCAAAGGAAGGAGTACTTCAAAGTGGCAGTGCTGCACAGCTGTGAAGCACTGCAGCTTTGAAACTCCAAGGCGGCATTTCAAAGGAGCAGCCCATGCACAGATGATCTGCAGATCATCTGTGCAGCAGCTGCCCCTTTAAAATGCCCCATCTTGCGTTTCAAAGGGGCAGCTGTCATGGAGCCCGGGATCATCTGGGAATTCCCATCTGATCCTGGGCTTCCCGCAGGATTTCCCCAGAACCCAGGATCAGCTGAGGAGTCCCCAGAGGACCCCAAGTTCCACTGCCCCTTTGAAACACTGCCTCCCGGGGCGATTTCCAGGGAAGTGCCGCGTGGAGCCCGGGGTCAGCTGGGGAATCCTCAGCTGACCATAAGCTCTTAGCAGCATGCAGTGTAGTACGGACTAGTCGATAGGCACTTCCACATTCCTCCTTTGAAATGTACAAGAGCCCCCACTGAGGACTCTTGTGCATTTCAAAGCAGTGCAGCCCGGAGTCAGCGGGACTTCCCGCTGGCCCTGGGCTTTACATGGAGTTCCCCATTCCTCCTTTGAAATGTACAAGAGCCGCAGTGGGGGCTCTTGTACATTTCAAAGAAGGATAAGGAAGGGCATATCGACTAGAAGATGAAAATTCCATTGACTAGTCAATTAACCACATTTTAACATCCTTAGTACTGGCTCCTGCCTATCCCCCCTTATCCTCCATGCTGATGCCTTTGTCAAAAGCAGCAGCGGTGGGGGGGACAAGGGGTGAGATGGCTCCGTGGGATCCAGCATGCACCCTCTTTATCAGAGGAAGCAGCGCAGGGCAGCAGCTTGTGTACACTGGGTCCTGCAGAGCTGGCTGCCACCTTATTTGAAACTGCTGAAAATTTTCAGCAGTTACATGGTTAGCCAATTACTTTTAACTAGGCATGTTAAAATGAGTGTAATACAACTACAGTAACAACTAATGATGTTAAATTTAAATTAATCAACTAATTGAATAGTCGATGTAATTTGCATCAATGATTTGATTAGTCAGTAAAGGTACCTCTGCCTTTGAAATGTATCAAGAGCCCTGCTGGTTCTTGCTACGTTTCAAAGGCGGAAGCACTGAAGGCAGCATGGCCAGCCAGGAAACTCAAATAGTCTCCTGCTAGCCCCGTGCTCCCGGCACCGCTTTGCTTTTGAAATGTAAAAAAAGCCCTGCTCTTGCTGCATTTCAAAAGTGGAAGCGCCACCAGATCCGCACTGAGCTCCTGCCCCTTCTCTCCATGGAGACTGTGCTGAGGGAATAGGCTTTTAACTGGCTCCCCTCAACACCGGATTCTGCTCCCCCCCTTGCCATCTCTCTCTGTTGCAGAGATATGTAGGTCCCTTTCTCCACACACCAGGTTCAAGTCTGAGGTAGGAATTCTACAGCTCTACCTCTCACCATCCCAGTGTCCAACTGGTCCCATGGTCCTATGAGCTTACATAAGAACTGACTGAAAAGGAGGTGGGTGTGCTAAGAGGAGGGATGTTTGTGTGGAGCTCAGAAAAGCAGGGATATGCAGGTGGTCAGAGCAGAGAGCGTGATAAACACTGTTAGGGGAACTAGAGCAGTGTGTGTATATGAGTGGGGGGAGTGTCTCTGAGCAGTTGGAGAGAAAACAGGAGATCAGAAATGAGAAAATATTGGGGATGGTGTTGGAACAGAATATTGAAGAGATGGAAAGATGGGGGCCAAGCTGGATGGTGAAGGATATTGGAGAGCTTTATCTGCCCCTCCCCACCCCAAAACCACCACATCTGTGTCTACTATACATATCCACACCCAAAAAAATCATCATTGACTCCATGCTAGTCTCTGAACTGCTTCTGCACTTATTCAGTTCCTCAACCAACAGGTTTGATGTTGTGGCCTGCTTCTTGTGTGGAGAGAGAAAAATCAAGGTGTACTGTACAGGCAGAACTTAAACAACAGATGGTCTGGTAGCACTTTATAGACTAACAAAACATGTAGATGGTATCATGAGCTTTCGTGGGCACAGCCCACTTCTTCAGATGATTGGCTACCCCTTGAAACTTCTGTACAGGCAGAGACAGGAGAGGATACAGAGGCAGTGAAGGGATTAACATGCAGCCAATGAGTCCTGTGACCAGCATAATCATTGCCAGGCAACCGAAGCAGTGAAGAGTGAGAGCTGGTACACACTCAGTTACTGAGAATTTTTTTTTCTTGTTTTAAGGCAAGAGAATTAAATGCCCCAAAACTTAAAAAACATAACAGGAGTAACTTGTGCCCTTACAGAATAGCTACACTGAAACCTCTGAATACCAAGAAATAAAGTGCAAGTACACAACACACCCACAATCTTATCCAAATTAAATTTAGGTAGACAGAATACAATTCATTACTGAATATGGACAGGCTAAGAAGCTAATTACCACTACTCTTTGAAAAAAGTAGTGTTGAATTTTTAAATCTGAACAATGGTGTAAATCTCACTTGGAATACTAAGTACAAATTTAAAAGGGGAAACAGCCAAATCTAAACACCAAATAGTCCTGCAGCACCTTAGAGACTAACACGTTTTGTTAGTCTCTAAGGTTCTGCAAGACTATTTGCTGTTAACTTTTTCCAGTTACAGAGTAACTCGGCTACCCCTCTGAAGCATCTAAACACCAGTTTTTGTATAATCTACAACAGTGTTTCCCAATTTTATTTGACCACAGAACTCTTTTAAACTCGAAAGAATTTCGTGGAACCCCTAATAACAGTCTTATATATGGAGCAGGGTATCCAGAGCAAGCTGGGAATGCGGGGTCCTGGCGGGGGGGAAGGGGGGGCGTAAGTGAGGACGACTTGGGTGTGGGGTCTGGGCACAAGGGGGGGCCGCTTACCTGACTTGGCACCCTGCTGCAGCAGGGAAACCCTCCCAGCAGCACGCTCTTGTTCCAGTAGGGGGGCAGGAGAAGGAGCTCAGCGCCCCCTCCCTCCCCCCAATGCAGCAGGGATGTCAGCGCAGCTGCAGCACCAGGTCAAGCCTCCCGTTGGCAGAGCAGTGGGAAAGGTGTGCGTGTGTGTAGAAACCCTGACCTTCCCTGCCAGACCAGACCAGACCCTGCCGCTTCCCCAGCAGGGTGGGGATGAGCATGGGAGGGGAGAGAGTGGCAACAAGCCCAAGCACGCCCCAGGGGAGGGGGGTGTAGCGAAGCCCCTGCCGGGGCGCAGGCAACAATTTAAAAATGCCGAGATCCAGGAGCGGCTACTTGGCGCTGCAGACCAGCCACCCCTCCTTTCCCAGCAGCAGCAGCTGTTGTAACAAGCCACTGCCTGCACACAAGGAGGAGGCTGCGTGACACCAGAGGCCTGGTGGGACAGAGGAAGTCCTGCGAGGTGAGGAGGGGGCTGCGCAGTGGTGGGGCAGCTGCAGTGGGCAGGCCGCCCCCGCCATACAGCTTCAATGGGAGCTGCAGGGGGCAGGGGAGTAGAATTTTCTCACAGAACTCTTAGTTTCACTTTGCAGAATCCCAGGGTCCCGCAGTACCCCATTTGGGAAACACTGATCTACACGTTTCTTGAAGGCCACTAATCCAAGTGTTTACCTGGCCTGATCTTGCTTTCTCTGCAAAATCTGAAAGGCCCATATACAAGATGGTCTGGCTACTAATGGCGAAAACTCTCTAAAAAAGGGGGAGGGTCTGTTTGTGTGAAAATAACAGGCAATGTATCAAATTTATCTTTTGAGACTAGAAATACAAGACAATGATATTTTGTTCATTCCCTCTTAAGTACCTGGCACTGGCCATTGTCAGAAGACAGGACACTGAGCCAGATGCACCATTGGCCTGACCCAATATGGCCATTCTTGTGCTCTTGTGAGTTACAACTTGAAATATTGAATTTAGCTATATGAGATCTGTGGCTAAGGGGAAAGCTACTGTTAAACATATTAATTAGTAAAATAGTTTACAAGTTTTGCCCTCAAAACTTGTAATTTTGGCCCTACTGCATAAAATGTTTGTTGAGACCAGTTTAGTGAAGAAAAATATACCAGTGAAGTCTGAAGCCTATTGATACCTAATCAACATATTACTTAGGGGTGTAAATATTCCAGATTGTAGAACTTCCAGAGTCTGTAGCTAAACAGACTTACCCCCAGAAACAACAATAATTCTTCTATCAATTGTGCTATTGCTTCTTGAGAGGGTAAATTATGTCTACAGCAATGAAAAAAATCTCTTCTGCCATTGTAGCACATTTACACTGTGGCACCACAGCAGCAGTTACAGCATCACAGTTGTAGTGATTGTATCAGACAACCCCTTGCCTACAACTTTTAGACTCTCCCAAATATTTCTTTCCCACTCCAGAAAACTAGTTTTCAAGGTATCCTGTCAAAATACAATTTCTATAATGACCTTAATACCATGGTTCACAAAAAATGAAGCTAAACCAATGGACTTATCCTTCAGCTCTGTCCACATTAAAACTTTGTGTAAAAGTTTCAAAAAAAAAAAAAAATCAAGTCTACTTCCACTTTAACATAGCTGTTAAAATGTGTCACAACCATGCTGAGAATTAGTGCTTTAGATAGGCATTTCCATAGTACTCTCCACAGCACTGGTGTGTATAGAATCAGAAAACAAATTCTTGGATGTTTTTACTATTTGAAGCTGCATCAGAGAGGCTTAAAAATAGACTTTAAAAAGAGACGGTTAGTTAAAATATGCTAAATGCCCTCCATGGCACAGCATGTGAGAAGGCTAGGAGTCAGGAAGTATAGCTACGTCTAGCGGAGCCTACGTTATATCCTACTGACTACAGTGGGGGTTTGATTAGGCTCTTAGGACTTATCTACCAGAGAAAGTATTACCAATCTCCAGTGAATGTTTTATTTGTTAAGATGGTGTAAAAGGCATAAGAAACACTCTTATTTAGTTTAAACTAAGTTTATTTTGGTTTATCTTATATCTGCTCATAATTAACGGGTAACACCTCAAACAAAGAGCAAAAAATAAAATAAGGATGACCCTAATGGACCAAATTCTATCCTCCAATACAAGTGGCTCCAAAATCAGAATTTGACCCTTCAGAAGCTAAATGCTTTTATTTATTGAGAAATACATAAAATAAAAGGCAATTTTCTGAAGTTCTTCTTGTTTCAATATATTGGTATTCAAGGGCTCTATCTTGCAAGATGCTGTGTATTTCTGTCCCAGTCCAGCAGAGCACTTAAGGATGTGCTTAATTTTAAGTGTATCAGTAGTCTCACTGAAGTAAAACAGTACCACTTAGATGCTTAAAGTGCATCCTTCTGTGCTTTGCTGGGTGGGGTCACAAAGTGCAGCACTTACTACAGAGGTGGGGAACCTCTTTTGGGTCTGGGACTGCTGACCCACAGAAAAATTAGCCTTGTACAGGTTGTGCCTCCCTTAACTGGGATTCCCTGCTCCAGCAACATCTGTGGTGCAGCACGGACCACAGATATTTCTGGACCACAGGGGCCAGGAAGAGGGAGGTCTGGTGGCAGGGCAGGAGCATTTAGGGGGCACCGGCAACTCAGCTGGGAGCCCAATGTGTGTGGGGGGGGGGGAGGGGAGAGAGAGGGGAGGAGAGGGGGCTGGAGTGCCAGCACAGGCCATGCTGGGGGGAGCCCTGAGCCTCAGGGGCCGGATCCAGGCAATCCAGAGCTGCATTCAGCCCTCAGGCCTTAGGTTCTGCACCCCTAATTTACTAGGATCAAGCATCTAGTGAAATGAAATACCTGAGTGACCTAAACTTTGTAATCAAGACTCACGAAAATTATGCATCTACTAATTTCATTTTACACTGTGGAATCATAGATGCCAAAAGTTTTCATTGCTCTGTCCCACTGTATCAGAAGAAGGAATATAAAAATATGCCATTTGGGTTTGCAGCACGTTATAAAAAACCTGCACTTTTTACTCAAGCATATGAGATACCCAAGAGCTCTTCATTAGTTGAACTCATGTCTGTTTTAATATATTCCTTACAGCTATTTCCTCCTTGTTAATCAATTAGCCCAAACTGCAGATAGATAACTGCTAGTTTGTCATTTCTGCCTGTTAAAATTGGAGATAAATATTGCTAAATACCAAGGGCTAAATTCTTCCTTTTGATATATTGTGGGGTTCCCTTTAAATTCAATGTCTATCCAAGGCTTTTAGTGGTTTACTAAATGTCCTGGTTAATTTCAGTATAAAACCTAAAGACCTTATCTTAGCACAAATATCATTAAAGTCAACTGAAAGGTCCTCCATACACCTGAATGGGATTTGGATAGGGTCTTAGTTGGTGGCCCCCCCCCTTTTTTTAAATTCTCCCTCCCCTGCAGATTTTGCTTTTATATATTATGGTTATAGAGAGAACATGGCTTTAATACACACTTTTTAAAGCTAAAGCTAATTTTTCTTCTATGACACTCATTGATTGGATGAATCAGTAATTTTTGTTTGCAAGTTAAATTTGGAAAAAAGTTTAAATCATACACTCCTGGTATAAAGATGGTTTTAATCTGGGGCATATTTACTTATTATATTTGTATACACTCATTTCACATGATCTGAAGAGAATTCTTAGTACATTTCAGTTAAATATCCAACATTTTTCTAGGTGTTGTGCACTGCATTTTATTCCATGGCTGTAGAACAAATATGCAACAGGTAGGGATGGAATAAGAAAGATCTAAATTATACAAAACTAATCTTTATGAAGTAGCACAGCCTCAGTCTAAAATAAGCAATAGTTTCATTCTGTGCTTCATGTCTTTTCTGAAACTGATAGAAAAATAGGGACCTGAGGTGAAACCCAACTGAGCTATGTGGTGCATGT